GCCACGAAATGGAAATTAGAAATGACGGCGCCTATAAAACTGTTTACGATATGTTACTTTAAGCAAATTACTAAAAGCAAGGTTGAAAGCAACATTATCAAGAACACTGGTCTCTTTGCATAAGTCGTGCCACATATTATTACCCTAACTTCTGCACAGCTGAACTCAGTAGAGTCCTGCGTCATACTAATGCAGTTTTTCCTTTATCACCAAACTACAATTAACAGAAAGCGTTATTACTGCCAAGGTTTGCAAGGGCTGTCCAATCAGTTGGATCCGAAAAAATGATGCTGTTATTCCGTCAGCCGCAGGAGGGATTTTCGCTAAACTGTACTCTCCTTCCAAAGCTGTTAATGAATAAAAAATCTGTAGACCGGGGAATTTGTAAGACCACGCAGTTTGTTATAATTTTTTAGAACATTTTTGAAACAGCCTAACCGTTTAGGTTTTGACAACTGCTTAGAGCAAGTATTAGAAGCGTCTGACGTTGATTTCGCCACTATTGAATATAAGTGATTGCTGTTAAAACAGAGGTTTGTTATTCACTTCGCTTTGTATTCCACAGCGTACTTATCGACTCCTTCCCCGAAACATTACCAAAATGTGATATCTTATTGAGCAAAAAGTTATAAAATATTTTTTTTAAACCTGAAAATGTTCTTTATGTAATCTTTATATAACTTTTTCTTTCGCTACATTACCCAATTACGTAACCATTAGAAAATGTAATGTGTATTCAAAAATGGAGGGTATAGGAAATCTAGAAAATCGAAAAGTACTAAATTTTGCTGAGTTGGAGTTGAAATATATTTTCCTGAAGATATGAAGCATGTCAAGCAGCAACCTGGGAATTTTTACAACTTTAGACGAGCATATCTCTTCAAGAAACTCACTCCTTCAAGTCATCTTCTCCATCCTTTAAATTGGCACGTAAACCCTACTGAATGATAAAATCTAGAAAAATTCTAACGTACCAAATCGCATGAGTTTGCACCTCGATCTCTCCCATTTTTTTCATTTTGCCAACTTGTAGCATTTGATACCGCATATTGAAATCGAAACAGCTTATCTCAAAATCTGCGCTAGCGGCAAAGTTAGACCATTTTAAAGTGCAAAAAAAATGCGACTCACCCTTGACATGGTCGGAACTTGTATTTTTTTCATTCGCAACAGAATTTTTTAATTTTTACTTCTTTTGAAAGCCTGTCTCCTGCAAATTCAGAAACGAGTATATTGGCAAATTTTATTCTAAAGTCAAATAAAAACAAAAATTCAAAACGGTTTTCCTCAAAAACAGACATTTTAAATTTCTTCAAAAAGACATATTTTTTAAAGATGTTTTCTACACAAAATACAAAAATTATAAGGTGGTATCTTTTCGGCATCAAGAATTATGGTACGATAGGTAATAGTAAACTGGAAAAAACTCCTAATTCAAGCAGCATTTAAGTGCTTTCGTAAGCTCCAGACCCTCTGTTTCCACTAAAATTTTATTTGTTCTCCGATATATATAATTCTTGTAAAACTTTTCAACTCTACTACTTCAATGACAGACAATTAGTTAAAATTTATTTACTTTTGAACAATTTTAGAAAATTTTTTTTAAAAAATTTTTGATTATGATTACTTTCGGTTTGTATCGCTCTGCTTGCTTAT